AGGATTCGGCAGCGACAAATGGGTATATCCGAATGTGAGCATTCCAAAATACAAACCTCTCACTCGGAAATACATCTATAGTTTCTACTGGTCAACTTTGACCCTGACAACAATTGGTGAAACCCCATTGCCAGACAGAGATGAGGAATATCTGTTCGTGGTGGTGGATTTTCTTATCGGAGTGCTAATTTTCGCTACAATTGTAGGAAATGTTGGGAGTATGATTACCAATATGAACGCAACACGTGCGGAATTTCAACAGAAGATGGACGGTGTGAAGCAGTATATGGAATTTAGGAAAGTTTCTAAAGAGTTAGAACAAAGAGTGATCAAATGGTTTGATTATCTATGGACGAACAAACAGTCCCTGAATGAGGAGGAAGTGCTCTGTACTCTCCCGGACAAACTAAAGGCAGAAATAGCAATACACGTGCACCTCGACACACTGAAGCGTGTCGCCCTTTTTCAGGATTGTGAACCAGGTATGCTGGTAGATCTTGTGCTAAAACTGAAATTACAGGTGTTCAGTCCGGGGGATTACATATGTAGAAAAGGTGATATAGGAAAAGAAATGTATATTGTTAAACGAGGGCAGTTAGGGGTAGTATCTGACGATGGGAAACAAATATTTGCAACTTTACGGGAAGGAAGTGTGTTCGGTGAAATAAGCATACTAAATATCGCAGGAAATAAAAATGGCAATCGGCGAACAGCGAACATTAGGAGTATAGGATACAGTGATCTGTTCTGTTTGTCAAAAGATGACTTATGGGAAGTATTGACGCAATATCCGGATGCAAAGAAAATACTCATGGATCGTGGTAAACTAATTCTGCGCAAAGACAATTTGCTGGACGAGGATTTAATGAAAAAATTGGAAGCCCAGCAAGAAACGACAGAACAAAAGCTGGAACGGATAGATGGAAATCTGGACACTTTACAGACGAGATTTGCCAGACTCCTGGGAGATTACAATTCCACTCAACAAAAACTGAAGCAACGAATCACCAAGTTAGAGAAACTTTTGACACGTGATCATGATGACGTATCAAACATTTCTGCTCTGGAATGAAGAACGTTTTTGAATCCGTCTTGTAAAAGGTCAGCGAGAGTTTGTGTTCGCCAAGACGGCCACAGTTCGACTATAGGAGAATAACTAAGATACTGAAAGCAATGGTCATTTGTAATAAAAACCTATCTTACCAAAGCAATACAACCAAGTGACGTCACCACAATACCCTTATTATTGTGAATATACATCATAGAAATGCTTATGTTCACACCAAGGAACATTTACTAATGGACAGTCGGTTAGAATAAATAATGATGTATGTTGGCTAACAGAAATATTCACAAATTATTGTTAAGTGCTCTAAATAGCGAAAAAAGAATAATTTATTGGAATGAAAGAGGTCATTACTGTATGATGGACAAAAAGGCGCTGGATCGCTACTCCTGTAAAATTATTAAGGATTGTGATATGCTTCTTCTACCAATTAAACTAAGTAGAACTAATGTTGAATTTCTTTAGAAAATTATAAACAGTGTACTGACAGGCAAAAGTTCTTTGAAAATTCTCTTTCTTCTTTTTTTATGTCAGTGTAGCAAGCCTTGTGCCACCTTTTTAAAATACATGTTTTATCCTTCCCTGATCTTAAATATAGGCCTAAAGCTTTTGGGTAGGTATGTAGGTTGGCAATGGGTTTTCTTCAGGTGGTGGATACATGGTCTCTCCGGTATTTATGACACATCTGCCTACACATCGTTTCGATGATGTATAGTAGAAACGTGCGTTACAAAACATTTCACTGGCAGAAAACAAACTCTTGAAAAGTTTTGTGAAAAGAGGTCTTTTCTTAATACGTAAGGATAGTGTAACTGCTCCTCATCCAGTTCAGGAAGGATGCATTATGTGAAGATGTATTCAAGCTCAAAAGTCCATTAAACAATACAAATTTTGCAGCAGAGAAAACACGGACCTCAAAAAATCAGAGGTGGGATCAAAAGCAATGGAGGAGTGAGCATCCCCTACCAAACGGTCACACCCGCAGGGGCTGGTAACATACTATATTTGAATTTACGTAATCACTTTATATACATAAGTTCCTTTTTGTATATATGGTGACAAGGTACGTGTTTGAAAATATAGTGTTACCGGCCCCTGTGGTTGCTCCTTGTCATGGTCGGGAAAATCCATCGACAATTTTAAAATGTGCAAATAATGGTCTAACAATACATGTAGTATGAAAAACGTCAGACAGCATTTAACTTCAAGATAATTTGTAATACATTTGCTGTCAGGGTCATTGTATCAACCATAGAACTTAAGAAATAATTACTTCAAACGAGACTTGCAATATTCTTGTCTCATGAACTTGCCTGTCAATAACCTTCCTTGAGTTGTTCATTTGCACAAAATGCTCTTGCGTACCGAATCAACTGAGAGATATAAACCCCGTATGCAGGTGATGAAGGTATATTGCTGCGTAAGTAAAGGAAAGTGACGATTGAAAAGTTAAAGTCATCACGTTTATCATAAAGCTTGGTTGTTAGATTATCATTTATAATATGAATTATAACTCTTGAAACTATTATTTAATTTATACACATCAAAGTTTCACGATGGGGGCTGGAATCTCTTTATGCAACACTTTTCATTTCAAGTATCTTTATGTGATACAAGGTCTTTTGAAGTCTATAAGAAAAGGTTTTTGTAAACAATTGACATTTTTACTTAAGGTAAAATACAATTTTTAAGAAAATGAATTTCATTGATTCTTGCCTTATTTAGAAACTAATGCTAATTCGCATAAAATGAAATTAGAAGTGGTCTGTGATGTCCTGCAGTGATAAACTTTTAACATTATGTACAATAATGCAAAATAATGATTAAAAGTAAATGAAACTAAAATATAGCTGCAGTTCTGTAGCTCTCCGAAAAAATAATTTGACAGACCGGAAAAATTGAAAAAACTGTATATTTATTGCGCACAAAAATGTGCGCTGTTTATCGATTTATTTCTCCATGTTTTTAAAAATATAATTTCAAAAAATGTATTCTTAACAAAATTTGTTTATAGCCCTCCTGGCCCTGAAATCGAGATCATAGAAAATACTGTCTTTTGGTTTGTTAGATAATTTGGCCCAACGCGCTTCGTGTAGATGTCAACTACGAAAGTACTTGATAGAAGAGTAGGGAATTTTTTGAAATCTAATTTTTTTGCAATTGAGGTAAGAATTTGGAAGAATTAATCCATACACAAGCGCAAATTTTTGTGCGCAATAAATATACAGTTTTTTCAATGCGTGGCACTGTAGCTCTCCGGTCTATCAATATATTTTTCGGAGAGCTACAGTTCTGCAGCTAACTAAATACTGAAGTATTATTCAAAAAAGAAAAAATGCAATTTTCTCAGAATTTCTTTATTCCACAGGGGGTCGGCAGCATACTATATTTAATATTAAGTAATCTCTATATATACAAAAATAGACTCTCTTTTTGGTGTATAGTGATTACGTAAACTCAAATATAGTATGTTAGCGGTCCCTTTGCTTTATACACCTATAGTTTTTTAAAATTCCATCTGTAATAAGAAAATACAAACTAGTGTTTCTATTAACATTTGAGATTTGATAATTTTTTTCCCTTTATATAATTATTAACTATAATGCTAAATTTTGAAGAAATAATTTGAGCAAATACACATTAGTTCTTAGTAAATATTCAAAAACAGCTTTTTTTCAGCCACTTTTCAATTACTTCACATCTGATTTCATGAACCAGGGGATCAGATAAACTTATTCACAGTTCCTTCGTTATTTTGATTTCTACATTGTAAGTATTAAAGAAACTAAAAGTACCTTAAGGAAGCAAGGTAGGATTTTTTGGACTTAAGAGCGTCTTTGTTGCTGCGTAGACAGAAAAGATTTTTTTCCCGTTGCCCCCCAACAAATGTTGTTTTCGACATGTAAATGAATTCAATTTCATTGAATACAAAGGAACAAACAACACCTTCTTAGCCGTCCTAATGTAATAGCGTCAGTTCTTATAAAGCTAATCAATAAAAAAAAAGTGGTTTTCTGAAGAAAAAGCGTGCTGTTGGTTATTAAAAGCGATGCTATCAAATTGCAACCGTCAGTAAAATAAATAGTTTTCTGGCGTTGTCTAATCACTACTCCCGTCTTACTAGCTGATCAAAGTGCACATTGTTGAAAAATAATGATATCTATACATGCCTGTAACAGAATAATACATCACAGCGACCACTGTAAATCCTCTCCGAGCCCAAGTGTAACATCTATATTTTCTATATGCTGCAAAAGTTGCACAGTGCATTCTCTGTAGGCGCACAGCTTATTTATTGAAACAATGAATAGAAGTGGCCAAAGATTGTCAGATTTCTCCTTCGAGCCACAAAAAGAGCGTTAAATTTTGGGGGAGGGGGACTGTTGTTTTTTACTTTTTATTTTGAAGGAAGTGGGGGTTTAAGTAATGTAATGTATATGTTTTACAACTTTTCAAGTTTTGCAGTATTTTTTTACATATACAAATATCTTTGATCGCTAAGACCTGGGGATTATTAAACACTGTGAGTACCTTAATAGATGTGTTATCCTCGGTTACCACAGCAACCTGCGTGTCAACATCCTACCTGAGCGCCCGTTTGTATAAGACCATCCTTATGTGACATCGTGTTATACCACGTAATTAGGATAAGGTATACGGTTATCTGCGAGTCTACATCAATATACTAACACAGTCCTTGTAATTGGTAATAAACGCTACTTTCTTTAAATCAAAGAAAATCAATTCTTTGTTAACCAACTTAATTCTAATGTAGCATTCCATTTTAGTTGATTAGATCGTAAAGAATTATAAACTTCACGGGCAACATAAAAAAATCAATTTCAATACCATAGGATATTTGTTCATGTTGCATATTGAAAGAATTATAATCTTGAACGTAAGAATACCAAAAAAAAAAAAAACAACAACAATACAGAGTTCTATTTGTTTTTATTTGATATAAAAACAACCAAAAACATGAACAAGGATTATCACAGCTTGTTAGAGAAATTGTAGAAAAAAATCATAAAATGATACCAATGTAACATAAGTGCACACTTTAAAAGCAAGCGCATTCTTACAAGGATAACCATGTACATAATATGATTATAAAAATATTCATGAATCAACCTTCAATGACTCTTTTTTTTAAAATCCCCAAATCTATACTTTTTCTCCAATGTTCTGATGATGACAAATCAAATATTAGGGAACACCTACTTTAATTGAATGTTTAAACAATCAAAATAGACTGCCTGAGCAGTATTTATCTGCAGTGGAGTTTGGAGTTGAGTCAGCTTCTGGTTTAACCACGGCTGGGTCTGTACCTGAGTATAAGTAGGAGTACACAATGTACAGTACAAACATAAGAAGAGTCAGTGCTTGTAACAGTATCAGTAGGTTCACAGCCTTCTGTAGACTGGCATTACTTTCTATCAAGGAATCAACCTGAAAATGACAAAATAAATCATAATTTTTATTTTAACATAACCAGTAAAGAGTCTGATATCAAAAAGGGCCCATGGGCCATAACAGTCACCTACACATAGTGACATTGTAGGTTTTCTGTGTAACTTGGGACTGATATACTAGTATAAGAATTTACACAAACCTAAATCTACACTTTTTGTCTGACAAACAATCTTGCATTTAAATTTGACTCACCTAGACAATTAGTTCTTGATTTTCTTATTATTCAAATGAATCAATTATCAAAAATAAACCCTGCTTGGAGATGAAGAAAATTTCAGTTTTTGTAATGGCACCAGTTCTGATGTTTTCCTTACATGTAAAATATCAAAATTGAGAAAAAAAGCCTGGAAAAACTCAGATATTTCGGACTATCCATTGTCCAGTATTCATCATTATTCTAAACTCAAATATTATCCTAAATTTATCCTTTTTAGCTCACCTGAGCCGAAGGCTCAAGTGAGCTTTTCTGATCACATTTTGTCCGAGGTGCGTCCGTCTGACAGCCTGTCTGTAAACTTTTTACATTTTTAACTTCTCCAGAACCACTGGACCAATTTTAATCAAACTGTCACAAAGTATCCTTTGGTGAAAGGGATTCAAGTTTGTTACAAATGAAGGGCCACGCCCTTATTCAAGGGGAGATAATTGGGAATTAATGAAAATTTAGTGGTATATTTTAAAAATCTTCTTCTCAAGAACCATTGTGCCATGAAAGATGAAACTTATGGGGAAACATCCTCAGGTAGTGTAGATTCAAGTTTGTTCAAATCATGACCCCCGGGGGTAGGGCGGTGCCAAAATGGCCGACCAAAGTTTTACATAGAAATATATAGGAAAATTCTTTAAAAATCTTCTTCTCAAGAATGACAAAGCCATAATTCATCATATTTATATGGAAGCATGCTCATGTAGTGTAGATTCAAGTTTGTTCAAATCATGACCCCCCGGGTAAGGGCGGGGCCAAAATGGCCGACCAAAGTTTTACATAGAAATATATAGGAAATTCTTTAAAAATCTTCTTCTCAAGAATGACAAAGCCATAATTCATCATATTTACATGGAAACATGCTCAGGTAGTGTAGATTCAAATTTGTTCAAATCATGACACCTGGGGGTAGGGCGGGGCCAAAATGGCCGACCAAAGTTTTACATAGAAATATATAGGAAAATTCTTTAAAAATCTTCTTCTCAAGAATGACAAAGCCATAATTCATCATATTTATATGGAAGCATGCTCAGGTAGTGTAGATTCAAGTTTGTTCAAATCATGACCCCCGGGGGTAGGGCGGGGCCAAAATGGCCGACCAAGGTTTTACATAGAAATATATAGGAAAATTCTTTTAATATCTTCTTCTCAAAAATGACAAAGCCATTATTCATCATATTTATATGGAAGCATGTTTAGGTAGTGTAGATTCAATTTTGTTGAAATCAAGACCCCCGGACACCTCATGAGAGCTGGGCCAAAATGGCCGAACAAAGTTTTACATAGAAATATATAGGAAAATTCTTTAAAAATCTTCTTCTCAAGAATGACAAAGCCATAATTCATCATATATATATGGAAGCATGCTCAGGTAGTGTAGATTCAAGTTTGTTCAAATCATGACCCCCGGGGGTAGAGCTGGGCCAAAATGGCCGACCAAAGTTTTACATAGAAATATATAGGAAAGTTCATTAAAATTCTTCTCAAGAATGACCAAGCCATAATTCATCATATATATATGGAAGCATGCTCAGGTAGTGTAGATTCAATTTTGTTCAAATCATGACCCCCGGGGTAGGTCGTTGTCGGCCGACCAAGGTTTCGTTGTAGAAACATATAGGAAAATTCTTTAAAAATCTTCTTCTCAAGAATGACAAAGCCATAATTCATCATATTTATATGGAAACATGCTCAGGTAGTGTAGATTCAAGTTTGTTCAAATCATGACCCCCAATAGGGCGGGGCCAAAAAGGCCGACCAAAGTTTTACATAGAAATATATAGGAAAATTCTTTAAAAATCTTCTTCTCAAGAATGACAAAGCCATAATTCATCATATTTATATGGAAGCATGCTCAGGTAGTGTAGATTCAAGTTTGTTCAAATCATGACCCCCGGGGGTAGGGCGGGGCCAAAATGGCCGACCAAGGTTTTACATAGAAACATATAGGAAAATTCTTTAAAAATCTTCTTCTCAAGAATGACAAAGCCATAATTCATCATATTTATATGGAAGCATGCTCAGGTAGTGTAGATTCAAGTTTGTTCAAATCATGACCCTCGGGGGTAGGGCGGGGCCAAAATGGCCGACCAATGTTTTACATAGAAATATATAGGAAAATTCTTTAAAAATCTTCTTCTCAAGAATGACAAAGCCATAATTCATCATATATATATGGAAGCATGCTCAGGTAGTGTAGATTCAATTTTGTTCAAATCATGACCCCCAAGGGTAGGGCGGGGCCAAAATGGCCGACCAAGGTTTTACATAGAAATATATAGGAAAATTCTTTAAAAATCTTCTTCTCAATCATTTTCTAAAAAATAGCAAATCCATGATTGGTCATGGGACTACTTTTGGATTTAAACTTTACAATAAAAAGCCATTTTATACTAGTCCTACCCTTGGTGCTCAGGTGAGCGATGTGGCCCATGGGCCTCTTGTTATTAAAAGAAGAATTACATATGATGGTATTGTATCCTTCAGTTCTTAAAAATTCACTTCAGATGGGAAATTAAAGGTATACTTCTTACATACTTATCAGGAAATTTTTACATAAAATTTTTTTGATAAAGAAAACTCTATCTTAATGCTGAATTGTTAAAGTATCTTCTGATCATAGTCATGTTTGAAAAACTTACTAATTGATCTTTTGGAACTCTGGTAATCAAAAATTCATTTATAGTTTAGAATTATTATGTATACACTGTGGACTGTGTAATTACATATACGCAAAAGATAATGCAATGGAGCTGGCAAAGATGTAACTATCTATTATCTTTAATTGTATTTTCTCATCTCTCTTTGTCCCCAGAGTAAAAGAAATGTAAGAGTGAACTGAGGGCAACATACTCTTGAAAAAAGTTAATATGTCTAAAACAAGTTTTTAAGTATTTTGCAATATTTATATAGAGACTCTTTCATTTTATATTAAAAAAATCTTTGTTGAAAAGAGGTTTTTTCTGATTACTCATCATATGTATTCTGATGGTGATATGTTATAGACTTGATTCTACTTTCAGTGAACTCATTACCGCCTCTGCTGATAGTGACTTGCAGTAAAGGTTAATTACAAACAAACAGTTATTAAATTTTCACTAATGCTTCATGTTCACTTTACTCACTACAGGTAAACAGTTTTGGCATGTTTCCATAGAAACAATGTGAAATTGACATGCCCTTGGGACACCTCATGGGAAAGTTAAATAAATGTTGAGATTTTGGGAGCTAATTATGACTTAAAGAGCATTTATCATTTTTACCTGATCAATACCGGTACTTTTATCATTTTCATTTATAATGGCCTGGCGATCAATTCAATTTGAATTTTCTGTACCTGATAAGCAGCAAATATTTTATCAAAATTTTCTGCAGGTAAAAATCTTTATTCCTTTTTTTATTATTATTATCTATGTTTAAATTTAAACAACCGGGAATAAGTTGTTTTATTTTTGCAAGAAATATAGTACAGGTTAAAACAATGCATATGATATTATGCAAATGGGAGTCATGACTTAATTTGTGGGAGTCATGACTTAATTGATTTAATATCGTCAAGATGATTTGTCACTGCAACAAACAACTTTAGTCTACTACCTCAAGTCTGATTATACAAGGTGATTCTTAGGTTTATCAGGGCTCATGCTGTTTTTGTTTCTTTCAAACTTAACCAATATGTACATGAAATTGGTGACAAGTTATAACTATAGAATGTGTCTGTGCTACCATGGCTTTATATTTGATGTTAAATTGTTGACTAATGATTTTAGTTTACTTTCATCAATATTTCAATATTTTCAAGAATTTTATTATAACATTACAAATGGACAAATTACAATCAGAAAAGCTTACTTGAACCTGTAGCTCAGCTGAGCTTTTATTAAAAAAAATGATTGTATTACATTGAGATGTATACGTATAATCTGCTGTAAGGACCCCCTACCTTAGTAGAGAGAGCTGCAATTTGATCATCTGCTGACAGTATAGATGGAGAATCACTTGTATTGCTGTCTGATCGACGAATCTGGACACATCGTAATCTACAACAGGGGATAACTCATTATATTATTTATCATCATTTATCTGATACTTGGCTGCTTCAGTTTAAAATTCATTAAAGAAGATATTCCATTATGTGTCTTTTGGCTGCCTCCTTACCTATGCTCCATTATATTTTCTTTGGGAACAGTTTTCCAGTAGTCTGACAGATTATCAGGAGGGTCCCCATTCAGTTCAACAGCCATGATCAAGAACTTGTCTTTGTCTACTCCTTGGTGATGTTCTGAAATTATTCAAAGGGACATATTTAAGTTCAAATTTACATTGTAAATTCCATGACCTATACAGCAAGCCTTACAGTGCATCTGCCTTAAATATATTCTCAGTTATTTGCTTACAGATACTTGTAGCAATCAAGACAGTGCTGTATGCATAATCTAATTCTCCTAGGAATGGGTTGAGGTCAAAATCTAGTAATTTCACAATTCCAACTGATTTCTTTTATGCTTAATATAAATCCTTCTCTCATAGAAATTCTAATATAATTTGTAAACCTCAAGAATTCGCCTAGCAAATAGGCAAAGAGGGACAAATCTTTCGATTTGCTTTTCAATCTGTACCTTGATGAAGATGAACATTGACTTTTTCCGTTGTGCCTGGTTTAACAATACCAGAACTTGGACGAACTTTGTATTTTTCAGGTGAAGTTGTCTTTACCTTGAATTAGTAAAACATGGTTAAATTTTAAAATCCATTCCTTGATAAAAGAAATAAGTAGTTACATCTTTTTGTAAAATGAATGTGGGGAAAAGTCATCAGACTGGTCCCTAACAAATCAAACTTCAAAGTTTAATACTTATTTTAAATCTTGCTTCTTTTCCTAAAAATAAATACACATCAAATACCTACACTTATTTCTAATCTTGCTTTATACTTAATTTTTTGTTTTTTTTCCCTTGTACATTCCAAATTTACACAAATCTTTAGATAGTCATCTTATTCTGCTATCTTTATAGTACTTACTTTGTATGCGATTGGATAAGGGAGTGTGTTTTTAAGAGAAATGGTATCTTTTCCACCACAATCTGTGATGAACTTTAACTCCTCTGCTGGGCTGTAAAATGAAATTAACACAAATAAACACCCTTTTAAGAAAATTCCACCCAATAAAACTTCAATTTATAATCTTTTGTGGCTGGAGCTTCTCTATTTTTTTTTTCTATTTTTTTTTCTTTGCCTCCCACTTTTTTAACTTGGTGGTTTGGTGGACTTGGTGGTTTGGTGGGAAGTTAATGGGATAAAACAAATCTACAAATTCTTGTTTTTTTTTAAATGGATACTATAATCTTTTATTTCTTGACACCTTTCTCATCATGCCCAAGCTCTGACTGACCTTATGGTTAGAAGTCGGCCCACAAAACTGTTCCCCTCTGGTCGACTCCTCACAGGACCAGCATTCCTGTTGATGTTACTTCGAGGACTTGAAACCTGGAAAAGAGTATCTTATTGAAACTGTATCCTAAAATGTATTGCAAAGCACTTCTCTCTATTCTCTATTTTATTAACCTAAAATGATGAATTTATTCTAGAATTTCCTTAAATTTTATCAACAAAACATTTTTATTGGGAAATTCTCAAACATGGAATTATGTAAAATATTACACAACCTTTGAAAATACCAAACATCATCATAAAATTTACAAGGCTAAAAAATGTGTTTCGGGTAACCTGGCTGACCCTAATTCTTACTCGCCAATCCTTCTACTTTTTATTCTAGATTTGGATTTTGAACTACATGTACACTTTAGTTCACTAGTAGAGCTTTCTCAAATGCAATCAACAGAATGTGCATCTCAGATACTGTAAAAATGAGTCTATACAAGTGTTTTAAAGAGTACACTAGTTTTAATGTTTATACATGTATAAATTAATCTTGAGCCTTAAGTCTTAACTTACCACACTTGAATTACTAATATCTCCACTTTCTGCATTAAAACTCTGGTACAAAGGAGAATCCTGGTCAGCAAATGTTACCTGGGATAATAAAATTACCCATCATAAATACAATAAAATTACCCCTCATATATACAATAAATTATCCATCATAATTTCACTATACATCCATACAGTAATTCTTTAAATTTTACCATTATAAATCCATTCACCTCTGTTGTTCTTTAAAGCAGTTATAGAGATAGAAAAATATCTTTAATATGCACTTATTATTTTTTTTATCTGTCTTAATGTTTGAAAATCACAGTAGCCTTAATAGTAACCCTCTTCTTTAAGGCATCACTATTTTGATTATCTTCACTTTCTCTCTCCTCTGGGGGAATATATTTGTACTTGTATGTATCCTGAAAAATATTCATTTTTTTTGTATTAATTCCCAAAATAAATGCTTTTTCAAACCCCATTCAATTCAACATATCAAGATACAGCACTGTGTGCAGCAACACATATATATTCAACCATTTATATATACAGAAATTGTATTCAATAGTTAATTTGTGATATAAGTAAAGAAACAATAAATCAAATTCCCTTTTGTCCATTACAATTTACAAACATTTGACTGCAAAAAAAATTGATAAATCTGTTGTATAGAAGATAATATCTTGAGTGTAAATCACAAGTCTTCTTCTTATGTAAACTTACAGTGCCACCCATATGTTCTGGTAGATTTTCTTTGTCTATGTATTCCTGTATATCATTCTTACTGACAAATTTGAGCTTTTTCTGAGCTTCTGCACTCAACCAAGTTTTCACAATTTTCCAAGCAGCTAATAATTAAAACAATTATCAAACTCATAGTTACAAAATCGACAGATAAAAACATTATACAGCCATTTTCTTAAACAATAAAATGCTTTCTTTGCTTGCTAGTATGGAAATTAATGTTGCAACTCTTGCTGAAAAAAAATATATCACCTGCTTATGCAGGCTACATAAATTTTCTCTGCAATAGCTGCGACGTTAATTCCCATACTAACAATCAAAGAAAAAAATATTGTTTATATTTATATCAGTATAAATAGTCATTTAAAGTAGGATTTATGTCATAGTATGTTTCATTGATGGAATAGCAACTGATCAAGAAATCTGTGCAGGTAATATCCCTAATGTTTTTCTTGAACTGTTGAATGGCAATGGTTTTCTTAAGAAATAAAGGAGAAATATTCAGTGGATGTAAATATAGTACAGTGTTTGACAAAATAAAAATACTTCCTATCTATCTTGAAACCTGAGTTTTGAATGGTTAGTAAGCTTGGTGAGAATTTCTGTACATCCAACTTGAGCTGGAAGTAAATATTGTGCTGTCACAGAACCTATATTTTCTACCATAAAAAAGCAAATTATATGAAACATTGTAGTAAATTTTCTTACTAGTTTTTCAAACTTTGATTAGATCCTGTTACAATGAAAATCCTGTTACAATTAATCTTTACTGATCAAGCGATTCTCATCTGCTGCACACCCCTCCAAATGCTTACTTCATCATACTTATATAGGCTTTCAAACTTTTTTTTTTTTTGAAGGTTTAATTGTTATCACTTGACTATAACCACTTAGTGTATTTCATATCTGAAATTTTACAGCTTTTTTTGTAAATATTGAAAACCATATGTAAGATCATGATCCTTTAACATGAACAATATCAATTTTAAAATGGTTTGACAGTCTAAGTACTGTATTTGTGAGAGGTGTATCATCAGAGACAAATAACAGATTCATAACTCCATGCACCATTAACTTGTTTGTTTATCAAAATATGTGCCGGCCCTGGTATTATCCTAAGAATAACTCTTTATTGGTCTTGTATTTCTATCTAGAATAAAATTAATATTTATGCTATTATATATGGGTATATTTGTAAAGTGTTGCTGATTTTTATTAGCAAACTAGGCAAATTACCCCTGGTAAAGAGCTCAACGATAGAAAGTTGACAAACTCATTGGCTGACCAAGAGTCACTTGTTGCAGTTTCAGATTTCTCCTTTGTTATTGTGTAAGATAAAGAAACTTACAGAAATTTAATGTCCTGAATAGTTTTTTTTAATATAAAAAAAATTACTCTCTGATCCCTGATAATTTTAACATTTTTTAAGTTGTACGATATTTAAAAAATTAAAGAACAGGGAACACGATATCGCGTGAGACTTCGAACAGTTGCGGATCTCTGTTATTTATATCTCTAGATTCTTATAATTTGTAAAAAAAAAAAAAAAGCCTTATTCAAAAAAGCAATGATTATCTAATTATCATAATCATATTCTCCTTTATATACTGATAAACATTTACTGTGAAGTATAGAAATAAAATCATAGAAAATAAAGGATAAAAAGAGAATAAATACCATTAAATAACCAAGGCATTTCATAAATCAGCAGGTATCCTAAAATAAAACAGCCAGATTATCATGTGCCTTCATCTTCAAAAGGAATTGCTTTAAAATTTTAGTGCTTTTTGTTATCATTGAGAAAATAACTGACAGAGATCATTAAGTGTCAAATATATATATAATAGCCATACAAATAAAATTTACGTGAAAAAAGTCAAAATGTGCATGAATATTCAACAGATCAATCAATTTCATACTTTTGATTATATTTGGCAGACTTTTTTTAAAAATAAATTTCCAAAACACATGCATTGTTCGGCTGCATTATACTTACCCAATAATGTAGGATAATATACCTTGAAGGATGTAATAACAAATTTGATCATTTCCATATCCTAAAACAGGAAGAAAAATTAATGAACATTTTAACCAATTAGCACACACATGCTAGATTCCTTGAAACTTTTTTTTCCAGTTTATAAGTGTTCATCAATCAATTTCCTGTTATTTGACACTGGATCTAACAGGAAACACGATTATGAAAGGTAGGTTATTTCTCCTTATCAAATATATAAATAAATTAAAAAATATAAAAAGTTAAGCTGAAAAGTAGGCCATTAAAGTTCAGTACAAAGTTCACTTTTACAATACAATGAAATATTGTAATATCGACTTATCTACTTTTACATGTACTTATTAAAATACTGTATGGTTGCATTTCAAGCAAAATTAAAGATATCAATTTAAATTGTGCTCCTTTTTGAGTTAATTTGAAGACTTTAAAATATAATCTAATATACCAAATTTGAAAGCCCTGTGTTGGTCATATCAAAAAGCATCACAATTTCATCCTCTGGACTCTCATTATATGAAGTCTCAAAACAATATGCAAAATACTGTTTTATCATAGGCAACATATTTGCGTCTTTCTTGTGCATTGATATTTTCAGCCAGACTGTAAATGAAGTGAATATCACTTAAGTACATGTACTGTATTAAGACACAAATTGAAAAGTAACAATTTAACAATTTAAGTCACAAACAGTATTTATACATGCATGAATTATCAAAATATGATGATTGTTAAATTGTAGATCTGTAGCATGCTTGAAGAAAAAAGAAATTTATGTAGAAGCTGTATACTTATTTTGCGGCCTTCTTTGTCTGTGCTGTGGAAGTACATTGCACCAATCTCCCAAAACTCTCGGGGAAATGTGGACTCTGTTATATCTATCAATCAAGATATTTTGATTTATTAATGGAACCAATACAGCGTGCTTTTTTTTTTACTGAAAACTTTTCCCAGTTGATCTAAAATCAAACATAAGCACCCTATGTACAGAAATCCGGACACAACTTCTATAAATAATTGTTTTCATTGTTCTTCATCATAGTTGAATCTTCTTGATAAATGAAATAAATTTTATAAACTATTTTGATTTATTTTCATCTTAAATTGTGTTTAACATAAAAAGATTATAAAAAAAAAAAAACAGTCCAAAATCTTATTTACACTTTCACTAAAATAAGCAAATAAAAACTTCAGAACAAAATTAAGCCTATAGAAGGAAAACTGAACTCTTACAGTAATCACATTGTTCGGCACAAGAAAACGAAAAATATACCAGAATGCTATTCTGGTCAGAATCATTTAAATTATATAATATACAGTTATTTAGAGTAGACAAAGAATATTTCAAACCCATCCTAAAATATGGTAATAAATCTCTGACAAATTTTTAATTCATATTTCTGTGTGTACTTGAGTGAAAAAAAAAATTAAATTCTAGAAAATTTAAAAAATTGATTACTGTTTTTTTCATTTTTAAAAAGTTCACAAATGAAATACCGTAAATCTGGAAATTTTTACTGTAGATAAATTTTTAGCAAATTTGCGTATACATTGCATTCGCAAAAATATTTTTCTTAAAAATAAATCAACATTTGAAGATTTTTTTTTTCTGAGAACTCGTGTCATTTTTTTAACTCAGTGAATAGGCGTCGGTAAGCAATGGTCATATTTAAAAGAAACCTGTTTACACTAGTCCACTATATAACTACAAGTTAATTACCCGTGCGTGTAAATTTCCTTCATTATATGCAATATCGTCCGATGATTTGACAAGCACTGAGGCGGTATGCCCGTTTTTAATTACCGGTATTTTCATCAATTAATTTGCCAATAAAGAGAGAACTGTCATTTTATCTAACCGTGTATCAACACGGGCGATAACTCAAACTCAGTGCATTTACTAGAAAGTTCCAAATGTAAACGCGTCGTGTAAATTTTAGGTGAGAAAAAAAACCAAATGTTGAGAAAATTAGTTATACCGGTATTTTTTCTTCATTTGGATTATACTTCAGGTTGAAAGGCATACACAACCTCTAAAATGTTTGTTATAATTGATTAAGAAATTATTTTCCGTGCAAATCCTTTTGTATTTTTATCAAAATTGTTTCGGAGCGATTTTGCAATATCTTGCCACGTTGCGAGTATATTGGTGGTATTCTAACTAGGCATATTATTTGAAACATAACCTGATATGAAAATCTTTAGTGATTTTTATTTTTAACACCAGTGACAATTCGCAAAAATTTGAAGCGTAAAAATTAATCAACAGCTTTTTGACCCAAATTCGCAAAAATAAATCGACGTAAAAATTTCCAGATTTACGGTAATAATTCCTCATGAACATGAAGAACTCAGTGAAATATTATACCTGTAAGAGTGCAAGTTTTTTAAAAAGCAAATGTAGAAACCTTTAAAATATTGCAAAAATGAAAATATATTCTAATATTTCCATTTCTAATTTTTTTCTCTGTGATAACTCTTTGAAAATTAGTGGAGTTAATTTCTTGATAATTCTACCAGAATGTAAATTAGGCAGGTCAATAGGTCAGGAGCTAAGAAGGCCTAATATGCATGCAATTCTCGTGCGCATATGTCTCTGTGTCTGACGCTATAAAGGAGGCAAAATATGCATGTAAATCTCGTGCAGCTGCCTTTGTGTTTGACGTCAGTGAGCGAGGACTATTGAAATTGGCATGGGATTCCTCATGTTATTTCATCCATTAGTCTACATTTTAAAAGTCTAAATCTACAATTTTATTCCACAATGAAATGGAAATATAAGGAATCACTGTCTAGTTAGTATAGTATGCCAGGGACATCAACGATAGTGGGAAACATGGGATAATTTATGCATAACCGGCTTCGCCCATTATGCAAATTATCCCATGTTTCCCACTATTGTTGATGCCCTGGCATACTATACTAACTAGACAGTGATTCCTTAAATATAAACTACCTCTGACACCAATCTCTTTTCGCCATTTTAGAGCCTCGTGTAACCTGTCTGCTGCATCCTGAATGGTTTCAGTCTTTCTTATGAACTGACTGACATACAGGTCATTGGAGTTTATGTTATCAACATCTCTCTGATCATACACACCAGTCTTCACCAATTCATCCGCTATGAAAAAGTAAAATTTTATATCAATACATCTTCTAGTAAGTACTATTTTTCTTCTATCAAACCTCTAAATATTTACAGTCCCCAAAGTAAAGAAAACATTTAACATTATAAAAATGTGTACAGATATTTCCATTTTTGTTTTGTTTTGTGGCATTTAGCTCTGATAGCCATTACAGGGAGTTAAATTCATATGCATTTTAAAAGTGTTTCTCTAAGATTGTATAATATGTCACTTAAAGATTTTTTTTTTTTACTTACAACTGAGGGAATGAAAGATTCGTTCCAAAAATATAGCTGTAGAAAAAATTTAAATGAGTTCCCCTTTCCAAAAACATTTTTTTTTTTTGTTATTGGGCTTTTCTTGAACTCCCATGTTTTCTACTAGTTTATAATAAATAAAACAAGCAAATTTAAAGACTTCACCGTTCAAAAGTTATGGTCAAGGTTAAATATTTTTCATAAGTACGTAAATCTCCATGGTCAAGGTCAAAAGGTCAAGGCTGTTGGTATCAAATGAAAGGTCTTGCCACAAAAAATACATATGGGAAATACGAAAGTCCTAGTTCCTACCATTCCAAAGTTATGGCCAAAGTAAAAGTTTGGAATTTTTGTGTAAAAGTGGGTCAAACTCCAAGGTCAAGGTCAAAAGGTCAAATTTGGTGGTACCCAAGGAAAAGTCTTGTCACAAGAAATATACATGTGAAATATGAAAGTTATAGCTCCACTAAATCAAAAGTTATGGGCAAGGTTCAGGTTTTTGTGACTGACAGACTGACAGACGAATGAGATTTAATGTATCCTCGCTTTCGCAAAAGCGGGGGACAAAAAAACAATAGGATAACAAGATAATTTCAGATCAAGTTTCTCATGGTGCTAAAAATTCATTTGTATTAGCCTAGTATAAACAAATAGTTTATGTTCATGCAAGGAAGTACATATACTTGTCCCTGATTAGTTGTAGATCTATAAGCCTACAACTTATACTATAACAATATATGCTACTATCGACGGATTATCTACTCTACCTTTGTACTTTTTATTGTAAACATTCCTTAACTTATCGGCTTGTGTTCGGGGACTCTGCAAGAGAAACAATTTAAATTTACATAAAACTGAAAAGAATGAGTAAATTAAGTCTTGACTTATCCATCGTTACGTTTGTAAAAATCTAACAAAATACAGTAACGAACCCCGTCCCCTTCCGCCATAGTAAACCGTATCGTCGTCTGTTGCTTCCCTCCTCTCCTCAATGCCTACGTAAACAATGGGCGAATCTCGATCCCGAGAAAAATCTGCAGGGGGGGGGGGGTGTATCAACTAGAAATATGCATGATTTAGGAGAAATTGGTGGATTTTACATCCTATTCGGCATTTGGAAAATCATTACAGAATTAGGCCTAGCTTCTGAAATAATTTTTCCAATGTCATCAAAAAACAAAAACAAAAACAAAACAAAACAAAACAAAACAAAAACAAACAAACAAACAAACAAACAAACAAACAAAAGCAAAAAGTAAATAAAAAACGAACGAACGAACAAACAGTCAAAACCAAATTCTAAAAAAAAAAACTAAAATCAAAGAGCCAAAAAGAAAAAGACAAACCAAAAAACGAACATAGAAAATATAGAAAAGCAAATAAGCTATTCAGCAAAATAATTGTACATCTCTTAATCCTGGAACATTTTCAGTTTTAACTTCTTGAAGATTTTGATAACCCAAATTGTAAATTCAGAGAGTTCAAATGTGTTTTTAAGACAAAAAAAAGAAATATAGCAATTCAATAGATCTTATATTTTTTGTCGTCCTTAAATAATGTTCATGAGAGAGAGAGAGAGAGAGAGAGAGAGAGAGAGAGAGAGAGAGAGATTAATAATTGATATTCAGTTTCTGCATGAAAGGGTAAGACTTCTTAAACATGTAAATTAAAAAAGTAGCCGGCTTTGTTTGAAAATGCAGCGTATGTAACAATAAATGATTCATGTCATGCATATCCCCATATCTTGCAACAGGACCGTTGAGTTCCTCTTATCGGCACTTATTTCGTGTGGGTGGGTAGACCGTCGACAAAAAACCGGCTCAAAATCTTAAGCAAACATGTAAAGCGTGTGGAGTTTCATAAATTCTGTACAGAATAAAGAAATTGACATAATTTATCATAGACCGACCACACCCCCGCTGCCTGAGGTCAGGCAAAAGCAGAACAATTAAACTGCGGACGGAGCGGACATAAGGAAGGGAGGGGAATGGAGGACTCAGAAGGTAAGTGGCCAGTTAGTCAGGGCTATTGATTTATACAGTGATCATCCATAAAAATGAAGAACTAGAGACAAGTATCGATTTTTAAGACCCAAATAATGCTATGCCAAATAAAGCCAACAGACTGGGATAGAAATGAGATGACGCGCATATAGGATGAATGGCTGATTCAGATTTTCCCACGGGCAACTACTACATATGTAGTGACTAAGTGAGAACAAATTATCACTGCTCAGTGGACAATAAAATAAAAAAAAAACTTAGGTCCACAGCCTTATGGTTTGGATAAATTGGGTAGATGGGACAATATTTAAACTCCCGACATATCACCTCATCCCCATGCCGATACAGGGACATGGGTCGATCCTCAGGCACTTGTTTCGGTCATAATTTTTAACCCATCGATATTATACTATGGTTAAAAAAAATGCCTCGGCACGGTGCAGTACCACAGGTACACGTTTCTTTCGTAATATAATTTTTTTACCCATAGTATAATAATAACAGTAAACTCGTCGTATTATTATACTAAGAGTTAAAATTATATTACAGAAACAAGTGCACACCTGTGGGCAGTATATATAAGTGAAATTCACCCTTAATCAATCCATCCCTACAACAATACAATAAATTCAAATAAATACACGTGCGTATAAACAATTTTTTTTTATCCTTGTTTTCATATGCGTATTTAAAAGTTATGACTTTTTTTAAAATTGTAAATTAATTTGTATTAATTAAATGCGATGAGATAGACCACAGGTGTGGAAATAGTTATCCAGACTTCGTTTTTCTTTTTTAAACTTGTACTAGCATAATTTCCTAGACCATGTACATCTGTTATATATGTAACCATCCAATACTATTTGTATAAACTGTCAAAATAATTTTCCACAGATATCAATTTTATTGATCGAAAACATTTACCTATGCCTTCCACATTAACGAGTGGTGTCTATACATTTACTTGTATTTATGTCTTCTTTCGTTTTTTGGTTGCTGTTGACTGATTTTTTTAAAATAATGAATTTCCCGACATCAGATAAGAATTTTCACTTCTCAACAACTAATCAATACATTCTTGGCTTTATCTATGGAAATTATTGTTTTCGACTCCTCTTAAAAGAATTTTTTGGTTTTTAATATAAACGAATAAGATATACGCATACAGACGTAGCAGTCAAATTCAAAGGACAAACACTTAGTATCATGGAGGGCCAGGGGAAGGCCTGCCCCTTCTTTTTCCCCAAGATACTAAGTAATAATCTTTTTATTACTACTATTAAAATGTCAAGTGCAAAGGTTGTTGCCTCTACTTCGCACTGTTGTAGCACAGTTAGACCATGTAATTTATTAATTTTTAAAAGGATTATCCCCCCAAAGGATTTGGAGAAATTCCCATTTGAATGTTATAGTTTTTTTTAAAAAGAAAGTTAATTTGCTGGGTTTTTTTTATGGCTGTCCCTTAAAATTGATTGCCTTCAAGGGGTGCGAGGGGTGGGGGTAGGGGTCGATTCTGTCCGACTTTCAAGTTGGACTGTGTATTTTATCTTTCATAACTATATATACCTTGGTCTGAAGCTCTAAATACATTATAAATCAATAATAAGTTTTTAAAAACTTGAATAATACATAGGGATATGTTTTATTATCATTATTTTAATGGTAAATAATATAACCCAAAAGCAGCTGAACTGGATGGAAAACACATTTTGCCATGAAAAAAAAAATATGTTCACAGCTTCCAAGCGCAAAGATTGTTTAATTTTTTCAAACAAGCTGCAATCTTGTTCAGCTTTTTAATTTTCTGTCATTCATTATAAATTGTTTTTTCTCTTATATATATTATAGTCGATTTTTTTTGTTTTGGGTTCATTTGGTATCGGTTTCTATAGTCTTCAGTTTACTTGTAAGTGAAAATAAGAGAGAAAAATGTTTTAAAATAAGAGAATTAAAGAAAAATACAATGAAGATTTGGGTTATTAAAAATTATTGATTTCATTTTGGACATGTTAACAAACAGACCTTGGTATTACATGTACCTTCTTATGCGAAAGGGGCTAAGTTCATTCATAACTAGTCCAGAGTAACTTGATAGAACATATACATGTAACATTTAGAGTACGAGTTCCTACTGTATCGGAGTATAAGTAATATGAAAAACCAATTGTTTTATCTGCAGAGGTTGTAATGATGGCGGCGAAGCGCGATGGCCGATCTGTCATGAGGTTGGAGAGGATGTTCCGAAGTGAAATCGATGAAAAACTTGTCCACCATGTGGCGGGAGGTCCCCACAAAGGCATCCTGATAGCCAAGGCAGCGGACAGTCAGTTAATTTAAAAACACATGTGTTTTATAGTTAAAACAAAATCTTTCCAACGATTTTGTACCTCAAAGTAAAAATTCTGGTAACCTGTCAACATCGAGGTAGATGACTTACCAAAACTTTCTATTTGCAAAGGCAGACATACTTAAGTCAAATGAAAGAAAACCACCAACATAAACCAAAACGGGTTCATTTTGTATTTGATTAATGTCCAAATATTTTGTTTCAATGTTTAAATTTTCTGCAGTAAATCATCTTGCACACGCAATGCATATTGACATTAAAACCGACATTCTTTTATTGCTATAACTAAAGTTTATCTCAAAATTTGCATCAAGTACATTGTTAATTTGTAGATTTAAAAGACGTGGAACCTCCAGAAGGAAGGCTGGAGTTTCTGGCTTACCTTATCAACGAAGAGCAACAAAATCAATCCGTGCAGGTGACAAGCACCACTATTCATTTTGCAGACTGAAAATAATTCTAAAGTTTAACTATTAATTTATTCAAAGAGAATGACTATGTTTTATCGTGTCAAACGCCTACCCGATATTTAGTCTTGTTGATAACAGGTTACTCTATATTATAGGACTACTGGACGCTGAGGTTTTGGTTCCGGGGTCAGGCCGAGGGGGTCGTTAAAAAGAAGACGTTTACAGACTACTTCCAGGAACTTATGAATCCTTCTAACTTCCCTAAAAGCAAGATATTTAATTTTAGTTGGAACATTTTTGTTTGGTTTTAACACTTATCAAGTATTTTTTTCTGAATTTTCTGGAACCTTTAATAAAAAAGAAATTCCAGTCACTAAACAGGCACGTAGCATCGTTTTTGAAAGTGGGGGGGCCAACCTGAAAAAATTTTTTTTTCTTTACCAAAAAAAAGTTGACAAGCAAAAAAAAAAAAGGAAATTTGAAACTTCCAAAGATAAATCCTATGCCATTGGGGGGTATATGTGTAGTTTTGGCAACTTTTTTCAAGGTATCGATACTTCTGCTTTCACTTACATTTTTTAAGATATTTCTTGCTTTGTATATACTGTGGTAAAAAAAGGGTGGAGGGGGGGGGGGGGGGGGAGGATCGTCTTTTCAATAGACATTTTCTATTAGTAAAGGTAATGTTAGGGAAAAAAGTCTACCCAGAAAAAGAATTTGTAGCAAAACTATTAAAAACGAGATGCCCACGTACGGCAGAGTATGGCAAAGGTTGAATTTTCTTAAATGCAAGTCAAACTCCAAAGGTCAAGGTCAAAATTGTTGGTAACCATAGGAAGGTCTTGACACTAGGAATACACCTATATGCCATTGCTCGAGTATATGTTCAGTTTTGTCATTCATTAAAAAAAAATCCAATCCCTGAAATTTCTTGACTATAAAAAAAAAAAAAAAAAAACCTAAAGTTCTCCAAAGTCAAAAACCTATAAAAAGGGTGGGGGGGGGGGGGGGGGTGCCTCATTGCCTCAAATCTTTCACTTTTCATATCCATTTCACACACATTTGTAGCAAAACTATTAAGGGGGGATGCCCACGTTTTCCAGGGGGGGGCAAAGGTTGAACTTTTTTCTTGTTTTAGTATATACATTTTCAAAACCAAAGGTCAAGGTCAAAATTGTTGGTAACCATAGGGAGGTCTTGACACCAGGATTACATGCCTATGAAATATGAAAGCCTTAGGTCTAATTGTTCAAAAGTTATGACCAAGGTTAAAGTTTTTTAAAAGTGAGTCAAACTCTTAGGTCAAGGTCAGAAGGTCAGAAATAGTTTTACCCACTGTAAGGTTTTGTAACAATGAATACACATGTGAAGTACTGAAGTATGAAAGCCCTAGCACCAACTATCTAAAAGTTATAGCCAAAGTTAAAGTTTGGTAATTTTTTTGTAAAAGTGGGTCAGACTTTAAGGTCAAGGTCAAATTTGGCGATAACAAGAAAAAGTCTTGTCACAAGGAATATATATCTGTGAAATATGAAAGCCATGGCCCTACCCACTCTAAAGTTATGGGCAAGGTTAAAGTTTTTTTCGGATAAACAGACAGACGAACGGATGGACATGACCAAAACTGTATACATCTGAATTTTCGATTACGGGGCATAAAAATATTCAATTTAAAAACATGAAATTTGCTACGAAAACATGCATTTTAATAACGCGAAATGTAATAACAGTGCAATCTTTAATACGCTAAGATTATTGAATTTTGCTTTATAAAAGTTTGCGTTGAGATCAACGCTGAATGATATTACACAAATTGTAATAACATACTTTTAGAAACATTACATTTTGCATTATTGCATTTTGTGTCGAGGTAAACACAGAATGTAATAACGCAAAATATCATAACATATATATGGATTTGGGATAAACATATTTTGCTTTATTACATTTTGCGTCGAGATTCGGGCAAAACTTAATGTTATAACGCATATTTAAAAAAAAATAAAAAAAATAAAAACGCATCTTGAAACAAGTCTGCAAAAATATTTTACGTCTAGATTAACGCAGGTCTTAATATGCAAGTTCTGATTGTTACATTTTGCGTTATTTCAATTTTTGCGCTGAATAATCTCAAAATTATGTTATTCCATTTTGCGTTAATCTTTACACAAAATGTAATAATACAGCATGTAATGATTCTTAAAGTCTGTTATAACATTTTGCGTCTTAACTTTCCGCGGTGATCTCGACGAAAATGTAATAAATCAAAATGCAATAAACTTACTTTATTAAAGACTGCATGTAGTTATAACGGTTCGCGTTGCAAAAATGCATATTTATGAAACAAATTTCATCAGACATGTTTATTATTTATTTATCTAACACAAAATGTAATAATCCCATATTTATTACATTTTCGATGTTACATTTCACGTAGTAACATTGCATATAATAAATCATAAATAATATTTCATTAGGCCTAAAAAATATTGTGGTTTTGACAGAGTAATTATATATTTAACAAAAGATCATTGTGCTTAATATTCTTTCATTCTAGAAAGTTTTACATCAGTATTCACTCCAGCATCCTACACATACCAACTTGTACCAGAGGTACAAATCAACAATAAAACCTTCATCACATTTATGGTTAAAGCAGCAGCGGACGCTCATGTCGCACTGAGCGCAGTATATGGGGACGTAGATCGCAAAACGTTTGAAATCGTCATCGGAACTGACGGAAACACGAAGTCAATCATCCGTTATGGTGCGGGTGGACCTGTAATGACGGAATCTATGACGATGAACGTTCTGTCTCAGGACGATTTCCGATATTTCTGGATTAGCTGGGCGAACAATAAAATCGAGGTTGGACGTGGTGCTAATTATGGAGTGGGTGCTTTTCTTCAGTGGACGATCCCTCCAAGTAAACAGTTCAATATCAACTGTCTTGCAGTTTCTACCGGAACACCATCTAAAGGGCAGTGGGAGTTCGCAGAACTTTTGGGTTTGTAGAAGCAGGAAAATTTAATTCCATGATTTGAAAAAATATTCATTTTAGGGTTTAAATATGTTGTATTATATTTTCAGATGCTGAAAAGGACTTTGGTAGAGAGGCCAAGAAAAGAAGAATCAAACACTCTTTGCTGTGGATAGCAAAGAAACAGAAAATGTTACAATGCTTAGAAGATGCCTATCCTAATATGGCGAAGACACCGGATTTATTTAAGTATGAAAATTTAATAACAGAAATATATTTTCTCATCAAGGAAAGATTTTTTCTCATTATTAATGACCATTAATCGTTCTTCCTTCTTTTTAGCTCTTCTGAGCCAAAGGCTCAAAGAGCTAATGCTATGGCCATATGTGCGGTGTGCGTAAACTTTTTAGAATATGGGCCATAACTCAAGAACCCCTTGGCCAATCAGTACCAAATTTGTCACAGGGCTACCATTTATACTAAAATAAGTGTTGGGACCCTTAAACAAGGGGAGATAATCAGGAAAACAAAACCAAAAGTACTAGTTGCTAAAAAATCTTCTTCTCCATAACCACCAGGTAGATTTTCACCAAACTTACATACAAGGATCAGGATATGTCGAAGATTAAAATTTTCCCGGGGAATTACCCTGGGGCAAAGGGCGTGGTCTCAAGGTCACTTCAAAGTTGACCTAAATTTACAATTAATAAAAACGTGTATATTTTGCTTACTATAGGACTTTTACGAGAAGCGCTGACTTTTACAGTTGACGCTTACTTTTACACTAGGGCTATGTACGGTAGCTCTTTTATGATATAAATATATAGCTCAACATTTAATTGAACGAAAATAGCGGGTTATTTCAATGCACATATAGGTTGTCCTTGAAGAAAACGACAACCACCCTAGCCCCAACTCCCGGTCTTCACATATTAGTGCCCCTAACACCATACCTATGACACCTAGAAAGGTTTCTTATGCATTATCAATTCTGTACTTCCGTACATGATACAAGTTTAAATGTCCATGTAAACCGTCAACTGTAGAAGTCAGTGCTTCTCGTAAAAGTCCACTAGGACTAGGATCATCAATTCTTGTAAGTTGATGCATCTTACGATTTCACATCATGTTAACTCAAAAGTAGGTCACGGTGACCTACTTTTTAAATTTTGCTTGGATTTGTTTTCAAATTGATTTGAAGGCATATTTTGGACACTTTAAGGCCTATGATCATCAAACTTTGTCAGTTGATGCATCTTGGATCCTCAAACAATGTCAACTTAAAAGTAGGTCACCGTGACCTACTTTTTGAACTTCATGACTTATCCTTTTAAAAACATTAAATCCCATTATTTCAGACACTGGGAGGTTTAGAATCATCAAATCTTGTACTTTGATGCATCTTGGGACCTTAAAACATATTTATGAAAAAGAAGGTCATCACTGTGACTTACTTTTTGAATTTTGCCGACATTTGTTTTCAAATTGTTTGAAACTCATATTTTGATTACCTTCAGACCTACGATCATCAAACTTGGTCAGTAGATGCATCTTGGGTCTTTGAAAAATGTCGACCAAAATGTAGGTCAAGATGACCTACTTTCGCCATTTTATGGCTATATTTAAGTATCTTAGGTATTTATTGGCTTAGAATCATCAATCTTTGAGAGTCCATGCATATTTGGTTTTCGGAGAGTGACGACCTAAAAGTAGGTCACGGTGACCTACTTTTGACATTTTGTGACTATAATTAAGTATCTCAGGTACTTATTGACCTAAAATCATCAAACTTTGTCAGTTGATGCATCTTCGGTTTTCGGAGAACGTCGACCAAAAAGTAGGTCACAGTGACCTACTTTTGACATTTTATGGCTATATATAAGTATCTCAGGCACTTATTGGCTAAGAATCATCAAGCTTTGTCAGTTGAGGCATCTTGGGTTTTCGGAGAATGTCGACCAAAAAATAGGTCACAGTGATCTACTTTTGAATTTCTCAGGTAGGTATAAGCTTAGAATCATCAAACTTTGTCAGTTTAGGCACCTTGGGTTTTCGGAGAACGTCGACCAAAAAGTAGGTCACTGTGACCTACTTTTGACATTTTATGGCTATATTTAATTATATTTGGTACTTATTGGCTGGGAATTATCAAACTTTGTCAGTTGAGGCATCTTAGGGTTTCATTGAATTTCCAACAAGACGTAGGTCATTGTGACCTACTTTTGAATATCTTAGGTACTTATTGGCTTAGAATCATAAAATTTTGTCAGTTTAGGCATCTTGGGTTTTTGGATAACGTCGACCAAAAGTAGGTCACCGTGACCTACTTTTGACATTTGATGGCTTTATTTAATTATCTCTGGTACTAATTGGCTTAGAATCGTCAATCATGACCTACTTTTGAATATCTCAGGTACTTATTTAATTAGAATCATCAGTCTTTGTCAATTAATGTATCTTGAGTCCTCAGAAAATTTCAATCAAAAGGTAGGTCACTGTGACCTACTTATGGTATTTTATAATTATATTATAATATCTTCAGTCTTAACTGGCTAAATATTATCAAACTTTGTAAGTTGATGCATTTTGGGTCTTATGATTCTAATAGAGTTGGAGGCTTCTAATAGAAGTGATAGATTGTACAATTCATCAGAAGAGCGATTCAAGGCCCTTGGGCCTCTTGTTAATTCTGATCTTTCAATTCTTTTGATATACCTTGTAGACTCTGTAAGATAAAGCAGTCAGATACAATGGCTGCCTTGGTTTTCTTGTCGGACATGCAGAAGAAAAATCTTATTAAAGAAGTAGAAGGTGGTTTTTGGATGAGAATTCAGAGCAGCCAGGAAACGGAAGTCAGCAAACACGGTAGCCATATTATGTTATTACAGAACACCCCTCAATTTGAATAAAATTAAGAAGTTCATTTTATTTGAAAGAAATTTCGATGTTTATTTTAAGTTCATCGATATATTAATGCAAAAGCTTACATGATCGCAATATTCGACCATTAGTTTCTGAAAAATCTAAGAGGAAAGTAAAATCCCTTATTTTAATGAAGATTTAGTTTTCGTTGTTTTATCATCTGACATATTACACTGTACTGTCTAGAGATGCCTGTTTATTTAACATTTAAGGCGAATGGAGTAATTCAAAAATAATTCAAAACCATTTGGCCAGAATGTGAAAGCTCTTTAACAGAAATGTAGTATAGTTTGAATAGTGATGGTTCCTAGGGATCGGGTGATGCTATAGTATGTAGTGTACATGGGATTTTTTAAACGCTTTGTTAAGGACCAAAAAGACCTAAATTATAGTCAGACATATAATATCAACCAGCATCTCCAAACATTGTAGATTTTTAGTTTGTGCCACTCGTGACCAACATGGTGAAAGATCAGAGTATTGGTTCAATATTTTGAGGAAAAGTCATTGAGACCAATTTAACAAATATATATATTTCAAATTCATAATTTATCTTAAGTTTTCTTTGATACAGAAGTAAAAATTGTTAAAAACCTACCCCAGCTCAAACCATCAGATCAGCCAACCATTGCTATAGTGACGTCACTGTTCTGTGAAAAAGTGGCAGCTGATGCAATGATCGAAGAAAAGACAACTTATGTCAAATATAAAACTGAAGGTAAAACATATTGTACTAACATACCCCATATTGGGGGCCTTATTGTCAATCACTGACATGAAGAGTTTCAAAAGGTTATATATACATGTATATTCTGCTATTTAATCAGTATTATAGTTTTGAATGCATATGATATGGATAGATAGCATATTACCATTCTCTATCCAAAATTGTCGTTCCTGCTACACTCCCATATTGGAGCGAAGCTGAAACCAACTCGGGGAAAAGAATAAAATCAATAAATAATATCTTTTTACTTTTGGATACAGGAGAATCACAGGTGTACACACTAGGTAGAATTGGCAAGTATAAAATTGTATCAACGAAACTGTCCCGCAAAGCCAACTCAGAACAGGAAACAAGAATATCTGCCGAAAACACAATTACCAGACTTTTGGGTAAGGAACAATAATACCAGGTATATTACAATTCTTAAACTTCGATATTTTTGTAAGTATACTTTGTAACACAAGGTATCCTTTTTAATATTATAGGAACTTTCAACAAAGTTCATCACGTAATAATTGTGGGAGTAGGGAGTGGAGTGCCGCATTACACAGATGGTGATAAACACGTGCGTCTTGGCGATGTTGTTGTATCTGTGCCTTCCAGAAAGAATGGAGCAATCTATATGCACTGTCACAAAATAGAAAAGATGGAGGGTGGAGATGGTTACAATTATTCTACCCGGGAATGGGACTGTAGCGACAATTCTTTACAAGATGTCGCCGTCAGTCTAAAGCAAATCATTGAAAGAGACACAAATCCCCAGCGCCCCTGGGATCGCTACGTCAGCGACGCCAAGGACACCCTTCAAACCGAGGAATCCAACTTCCATCGACCGCCATTGAAAACAGATAGACTGTTTTACACGGACGACAACGGGACGGAACTAGAAGTGGAACATCCGGTAGCTGGCAAAGCTTATCGTGTGGGACAGAGTAACTGTCGTCTGGGTGTTATAGCAAGCGGCAAACTCGTCTCCCGAAATCCTCGGCTTAGACAGTCGTTTGCAGAATTGAACGGAATCCGTGCATACGACAGTGACGTCAGTGCTGTATTAGAATCATTAGAAGGGAATCGAACTAACAGCTTTATCATCATTCGCGGGATCTCAGATTATTCGGGCGGATCCAGAAAGGAGTGGCAACCTTACGCCTCTCTTGCTGCTGCTGCTTACATGAAATCATTAATCTATGCTCTGGCTTGAATTTTCCCTTGCATCTTTGTAACTAAAGCTAAAAAATACCTGTGTAATCAGCTAAATCAAAAAAAATTATTTGTGTTTGTTAAGTTTATATATTTTGCTTACACTTGCTGGATTTTAATGAAAGACATTAATATAAATACACGTGTTTCTGTAGTAATACATGTACGTTCCCTTGGTTATTCTATGAAAGGCAACTCATTAAACAGTAAGATAATGCCATGGTGAACCCAATATAGTCTGATTTGACGCCAATCCAATATCATATTAATATTATAGAGTCATACTAGTATTTCTTGCATTGATGTGAACATTGTGTATAAGTTCGTAGTCTGCATGAGAAGATGAGTTCATTAGAACGCATTCCACTTCTTTTAATTATCTGATGTATAGTATTTATCTCCAAGCAAATTATGGGTTCCCATGGAATACAATTAATAGTCCTTGTTTGTAAAAAGGAATAATTACTTTTTATAATCGCAGTAGAATGTTGGCAATGAACTGTGAAATGCTTTTACTGGGTGTGCATAGATTTTTTACCTTTAGGGCTTCTTCAGACACCGATACAAAATTTGATGAAAGCTGGAAAATAAGGCAATGGATTTGACCAATCCAGTCCATTTAATTCAATGATGAGGAAGATCAGCAATTTCAGATGACAAAACTCGTAATATGTTAACAAATGTCTAAATATTAACTTTTTATTTATATTCTTTCACCATTTTCTGAAAACGGAAAAATTTTCAAACACTTTTTCTGGCATTACAGGAACAATACTTATTTGTTTTGGACCAGAACTTTTCCGTCGAAATTTCCTTTTTCGAATGGTAAATATTGACTCCTGAGATAATTCACTTAATGATATGGGAATGCGACATTCACTTAAACTTTATACGATTTTCTTACTTTATATCATCCCTTTTCAATATCTTTTTTATATCTAACAAACGTGAAACAAAGACAGAAGGTGACGCAAAAAATAAACATCACACCAAGTAAAATATGACAAATGACAATCTGCCAAAGCGTAAAATTGAACACCATCCTGTCGCACCAGTTCTTTGGTTCGTGCAAAGGCGCTGTAAATTTTGGGATTCCGAGTCTAAACAACCAGAAGTTTCCAAAAACAAACCAAATACACAGAAATAAGGTTAGACACGCGTGTGTCACCTTAGTCAAGGTCATCAGTTCAGAATCATCGCGTATTGTGTCGTCGTCATCATCGCGTAACTTCCGGGCCTGCTTGCACAGAAGCATTAAGAGTTTTAATCCTCCAAAACATCCGCCCACTAATAAATATATGGGAATTTTGGGTTCTCGTGGACATTCCTCTAAATACTTCACTCCTGAAAATATGAAATATAAACGTGAAAATAACGAACAGACAGGTATGAAAAGGAAAAGTTGTAGTAAGAGCACTTGCTCTCGCGGAGTGAGAAGTACTTGTAGATCCTTACGTCAAGTCGTTAAACAATGCATAATCAAGCCTTAAATTGTTTCTAGTATAAATTTCTGGAACATCCGAATATTATCTCTGACTATAAAATCTTTACACTTGACTTCTGGTCATTGTAAACTTTGAGCTAGGTGGTAATTCATGTGATATAACTACTACCCTAACCTTGTGATTTAGTAAATCTTAACACACTCGAGTATAAGCAATATTCAAAAACTGTAAAAAAAAAAATAACTAGTAAAAGTCACTAAGAAGACTAGTAAATTTACTGTCCATAAAATCACTGCCTTCAAAGTAGCTTTACTAGTTATTGAAAAGAGTTATGAGATAAAATTAGTAAATCTATAATTTATAAGTAAATTTCACCAGGTTGGTAGGTATCCCGACGACCACCGCTCCATGTGACACCTACTACTCAATATCATAGTCGGTAAACAGAATGATTACTAATCACATAGACCTATTAGGTCTATGCTAATAACGCTTTACTATAGGCACACTATACTTAAATTAACTAAGTATGACCTTTCTCATAAGCTTACATGTAAGATTAAATAAGTATTGTACATCCAAATCGAAAAGTTTAGAAAGAATCTTGTAATCTTGTTCAGTGTCAGATTAAACCGTCCGTTTCCCTACAGGTGTCAATAAGCAAAGCAGTAGCCTATGCAGTCAGTTTATATTTACATGTAGGAAAGAGTTTGATTTAATAATTTTTTTTTAAAGAAAAAAAACCCTATGTTTGTAGATATAGGTGTTCATCATTTACAATCCCTCGAACATACTTGTGAAAAATCTTAGATATAAATTAATTCATCTGTTAAAATTTTTATCTGAAAATGCCAAATGCTTTCAAAATTCACTTGGAGAAATAAAATCTTACCTATAATAATCATAGTAACAGGCAAGGCTAAAAGTAGTCCGAGAAAAACAGTGGCAGGAACTGAAATTAAACCAAAATACATGTGTTTTAACTAAAACAAGATTTATATCTATTAAAATTCAATTTATTTGTAATGCAATAAATTCTGTATTTTTAGAAGGAATTTGGTTTGAAGTATTTTTGCTTTATTCATTTTTATTGTAAATTTGATAACATCATTTTAAGGTTTATCAACTTTCTAATTTTTCAAATCAAAATCTGCTCTATGCTCTAAAGCCAATGATTTTTCAGAAAAAAAAATAGTTTCAACAAAACGTTTAACAGAAATCTTTTACACGTTAAGTTTAGTGTTGAATAATATCCCAGCGATCTTTCTTATCAGATAGTCAATGGACCTTCAAGACAAACGCCCTAGACGGTAGACCTACTACATTCGAAAGGAAACATTGATTTCCATATCTGTCAGGAATGTTTCTCTGGATTGGCTCTTAGGATTTAAGATTCAAACTTTGGTTAAAAGTGACGGACCTTGTATACATAAGTTGATTCATATACTAGACGTATGTTACTAACAAGTCTCACCAGTTCGTCCAAAAATGATAAAAGCTCTATGTACAAAGTCGCAAGGACTTCCGGCCTCATCACATGCTTCCACAAGTCCAACATACACAGACAGTGAGTTTCCTTCCGCGGGGTCAGTCCAAAGGACAAAGCTTCCATAGTACTGTGGTTTATCACAAGGACTGTTAATGTTGCTAGACTACAAAAATAAGCATACTGTGCGTAATACAAGAAGTTTATGCAAAATACTGTTGTCTAGAATAAGCCTTAGGCCATTCAAAGTTTTGCTATGTTTACCGGTTTTGAGGTCATGAAATTAAAAACAAACACAAATTAAAATTGATAAACACAAATCTTTGAAAAACAATTAATTCTTTTGGAATCGGAGTCTTTCTTTTTTAGTGAAGTGCAAAAAATATTTTGTTTTGTTTTTTCAATAAGTAAGTAGTTAAACTTACTTACAATGGTATCATACTTTCAAATGATGATGATGATTAGAAAATATACAATTGTGCATAAAATGTTTGATTTTTCTTTTTTGGATTGTGTGTTTTTACCGGATAGAAAGATTAGACTTCCAATTTAGGGTGGATGCTAAACAAAGAAAAAACGTTGAATGGCCTTATATATACATGTATAAACAAGTAGTTTTATTTAGAATTCATATATAAAAATTATCACTGTTACAAATGTATATCAGAAAGTGTTGCAGATCTTTATAATGTTTGTATTGTTTCTACTGTTTGATTTTCACTGTTTGTCATCTTAACCTCTTTATTCACATTATGTGAAGAATCATGTGGTTCACCGTTGTGTGGCAAGTTCAATTTTAGTGCACGTTTCCCCTGTTACTGCAGTTGACACTCTAAAGTGTAATATAGCTGACCGTGCAATCGATTGCGTATTTGGAAAAACCGTGACATCATCAGAACTCAACCGCGAGCTTGCTGCCTTCAAATATCATACAGGTTTTTTTGGAACAGGCTCTCGAGCTTACCGCCGGCGCGAAAAAAGCTAGCGGGAATATTTGCTGTGAAACAATGCACAATAAATATCGTGTAAATACATTGAAAAGTTTTAAAAATAACTGTTCACTAGTATAAAAATTATATAAAAATTAAAAAAAAAATAAATAAATTCTTTGGGTAAGGAATTTCCAAACTTAGGCCTAACAGATATTAGATGTTTACTGATAAACTTCGCGACAGCATCTTAGGGAAGGTTGCATTATGACGTCATTTTTTTGGCATCAATTCAAATCTCCTACCTAAGCAAACTTTATGACGTCATTTTGTAGAATAGTTGGTATAAATACTGCGGTCATCCATCAAAGCTCTGGACTAACAACTCTAACACTAAACAGTATGGATAACGATAGTGTTCCAAGTCGACTATTAGAAGATCAGCAGCGATTAAGGCGAATAAGACGAATAATAGAATTATGTCGCATTATTTACCAACAACGGGAAACAGAAAAGGAACTTCAGGTTAAAAATACCCAGTTGTTGCGAACTTTGCAGAAAGCGAGAACAGACAAAGACGGAAAATTTCAACAAGAACAAGAAACTCCTGATTCCATTTGTGCAGACATGGTAACCATCAACAAAGAGGATTTTTGGATTTTAGCGACCAAATTAGATAATGTTACCAGCATCATGAGGAAATTTAGAGAAGATGTGGCTAATGAGTTTCGTCATATCAGAGAAAGTTTGGCAAAAATGGAGGTGAAATTGAAAACCATTCAGAACAAGATGAAATCAAAAGAAATTGACCAGAAGGACGAGGCAAAAGATCCAAGGAAGAAACCAAGTAGGGAAATAACTAACTGTTACATGGGAAAAGAACATGATCACCAGGCAACAGAATGCCCTGAAAACCAGGAAGATTGGTGCTTCATATGTGACCAGCCAGGGCACTGGGCGAATGAGTGCCCAGAAAAAGATGAAGATAGTGACACCCAGCAGGAGGGATTCCAGAAAAAATGGGTAGCCATATACTGGAACCTTTTAGGTCTACCTAAAAGCAAGGAACATGTACCGGCGACTGTGAGTAATGAGAAATCTATAATCTCCTCCAGCGAGTAGCCGAAGATAGAAAAGTGGGGGATATACAAAAGAAATAGACATTCAATTTAAATTGATTTTTGTGTTACTATGCATCGTTTATTGATATTCCTTTGTTAATAAATGTAGAAATTACTTATACATCATGTGGTACTTTTTTTTTTTTTTTTAAAGATGCTTTATATAGTCAAATGTGCCGTAAATTAAAGAAAAAGGGAACATTTGAAATCGAAGTCAAGAAACTTCTAAGAAGAGAATTCTGTCAAGAAAACTGTTGACGGTTACTTCTAGTACAAATCTAATACCTATGCCGAAATCTGTCCGTTCTGATTTTAAAAACCGTCTAAAAAGAAACAAAAAAAGAAAAAAGAAAGCCACTAGAAAGCTAAAAAAAGAAACCTATGCATTGCCACGTCAGACTGGACTAGCCTTATGTTTGTGATATAACCTTTGGTTGATGGACTTCATGCATTTCTCAGAACGATACGAATGTTTTGTCACAAAATTATACTTTTAAGGTAGAAATGAGTCTTTATAAACCAACAATTACACATTTTCTGCAGTTTTAGAGCAAACTTTAAAAATATGGAGCGTAGACCGACTTAGAAAATTGAAAAAAAAATGTTTTGAAAAGGATGAAAAAATGCTGTCTTTTGTCCTTTAGATTGATTGTATATTGTTTAACGTTCCTCTTGAGCATTTTTTACTCATATGGAGACGCCACTACTTGCCGGTGGAGAGCTACAAATTTTGTCCTATGCTCGGCACTCAGGGCCATTGAGCAGTGAGGGATCTTTTTCGTGCCAGCACCTACTGCGACACGGGACCTCGGTTTATACGGTCTCATCCGAAGGACCGGTCTCCACGTCTGTGGCAACGCACTTTGAAAACAACACGCACTTTAAAAAAACTTTCAAAGTCAACGTACTTTGAAATTTTTTTTCAATGTGCGTTAATTTTGGGACACACTCAACAAACTTTGAAAAAAAAAATTTCAAAGTGCGTTAAGAGTGTACATCAACCTTTTTACCATGGGGACATTTAACGCAGTTTGAAAAAAACATGTATAAAACAAAAAATTCTATACTTATATTCCAGTAATTGAGAGAATCAATTCGTAATAATTATATCTTTCAAAAAACTTTTAATTCACATGTACTCATTTAACTTCATTGAGAACAAAGAGAAGACGAGTAGAATGTTTCGCAACCCAACTCTTTTTTTTTTTTTCTTATACATGTATTGTACATAGCCGTCGGTAGCCAATTGAAAGCCCCAATTTTCAATCCATATATTATGCATATCTTTGAGAAACATTTGTGTGCCTAAGCCCCTCCCCCCCTTCCCGGTACTGATGCCTATGCTACACCCAAATATATGTATGTATTTGCATAACTGGTTTAACATTCAAAACTTTCAATGAATTTTAGTTTACATAAAATGCATGTAAACTGGAAAAATTAAGTACATAAAAACATTTATGAGAGAAAGAATTTTCAAAGTGTGGAAAAATCAAAATCGCTCACTTTCACATCCTAGTTATCAAACAGGTTCAATTATTTATCATACCTAAGATTTGCAAAAATATTGACCAAGCCATACACATTTTTTTCAATGTGCGTTAATATGGTCGATATTAATGCACTTTGAAAAGAAATTTTATTTTTTCAAAGTGCGTTAATTTGGTCCCTAATTTAAAGCACTTTGAAAAATTTTTAAAAGTGCGTAATTTTTCAAAGTCCGTTGTAACACACGTCCCATAGTGGGATTCGAACCCGCGACGTAAGGATTGACTCCTTACTTTGCGACTCTAGTAGTCTAGCAGACGCTCTAGATAACCACTGCGCCACTTTAGCTGACTGTAATTTTTTGATCTGTAATATATATTGAATAAAAATACCTATTTCATTTAAATCCACTTTACAAATCGTTTTAAATGTACTCGTTCCCATTTCCAGTTTATGTAAAGAATTCGTTAATTCCGTTTGATTACGTAACGTATTTCCAACTCGGCCTATGGCACTTCTTATCCCAATGCTTCCAATGCGTTTGATAAGGGGAAACCGTTTTACTTTATAAGCAGAAATAAAGATGCTCAAAACAACTTAAGATATTCTCTGGATTTATTTTTGTATTTCTCTCGGACTACAGTTTGGTCTTGACGGCACGGCTGTCCGTCTCCAACTGACTAACAAATAACAAGATTGAGTAAAACGAATTAAACACAAAGAAGAAATTAAGTGTCACACAAAGAGATAGATAAAAGAGTGACATTCTATAGATGGACAATTAAATCAACATGCCACATAAAGTGTTGTTATAAAAATCATCCGTAAATCCTTGTCGTGGTCAAGGTGTGAAAATTACTTTATGGGATTAACTCTGTTTAACACCAGCTGATAATTTGATTAATTCAAAATGGTTCACGTGGAATGTAAGATATTTTGCTAAATAAATAAAGGATCAGAAAGGGTTTCATAAAAATTATCACAAAAAGCAGCAATAATAACTAAATAACAAAACAGTAATTATAATGAATTTAAACCTATAAAATCTTGTAATTTTTTCATCACGACAAATGTCGTTCACTAATTATTGATTTAGAAATTCAAATAATGAGTACACGACAATTACCCCCTTAGCCACGATAAGTTTGGTCCCCAAACTTGAAAACAAATTTTACAGTTTTTATTTAATATCGTCTGTGATTGCCACGATAATAATTTTTGGAAGTCCGAAAATGTCCATGGTTCACGGGCATCTGCTGTACACTTGGCTGAGCCGGTGAATGGCGATGGTCCTCACGCAGTAATTCCCGCCGAATCTGTAGAAGACTTGATCGGAGGCCTTCATTGGAAGTTTTTAAGCTTTCGTTTTCCTCTTTAAGTTTTTGGTTTTCCGACGCGAGATGTATCTCTTTGTTTGTTGGACTCACTTGTTGCAGAGTGGCAATGGTTTCTTCATAATTTAGGCAGGTTTTCTGGTAACTGGAAATAATTTCTTCCATCTCTCTCATTCCATCTCTCTCATTTCGACTGGTCATTAATGAAAGTAATTGATTGTACAATTCGTCGTTCTCGGTAATGACATCTTTCTGTTTTTGAACAGTTTCTGTCGTTATCATAGTTAAAGCACA